CGGGGGTCAATCCCCTACCCCGGCTCGGGCCCCGGGGATCCCCGGGTGACAACCCTGTGTGAGGTTATTTTGGAAAATCGTGAAAACTGGGAGGACGAGGCTATCCTGAGTACGGAGCATTAGAAAATGGTTTTGAGGGAGATTGCAGTCCGGAAGGTTAAGGAGGAAAATTTCATTGAGTACGTTTTTTATTTCCATGACCAGAGTGGCAAGTTACACAACACCAGCTCATCTCTAGAAACAGTGCAGCAGGCTAGGGTGAGGCTCTGGTGAGCGCAAAGAGTCCAAACCCTTTCCTTTGGAGTTTTCACCGGCAACCCGTTTAGCAAAACGCTACTTTGAAATCTACAGTGTTCAGGGATTCTCAAGTGATCAGTACTGCGTAACTTGTCAATCCAGCATCACTTAGCCATCAAGTAATTGGGAAGCTTTAGTCAAGATTAGTGAGTTTCTCATCAAAAGACACAGAGAACAGTTTACACCGCAGTACATAAATACAGATCAGTCATCTTCGGTCGATGAGCTAGTTCCTACACCTCTCAACCAGATTTGCTCAAGTCAGCGGCCGCTCTGCAGCACAAGTTATATCTCGGAATTCAGTCAGCAGTGGTACATGGCCAATGTTGAAGTGCACAACAGTCATCTAGCGTTCTAGATGAACGTCAACAATCCCTCATCAACGGAAACGGTCTTCGGTGCTAATAGCCATTTATTCATCCTCAGGCCAATATCCGTTTGTTGACACATTTGTTAAGACATTCAAGTTGGTCTTCTAGTACCTGTCTTAACACATGAGTAAGACTTTGTCATTCCCTGTCAGTGAATCGGTTATGAACAGCCTTAACTAGATAGCCCTCAAGGATGCTGTCCGGTATAGATATGTCGGAGCGGTGGGCTTCAGACAAGAAGATTTGTCCATCTTTGTTGTTCTCACTAGCTTTGCAGAAGACACTATTCACAATCTGAGGTCCTATGTGAAGAAAGGCAAAGAGACTCATGAATGTTTCGACTCAGTCTGAACTTCGGTTGCCTGGTACCTTGGGGAGAGCGATTGATGAGAGTGGGACAAAGTTGATCCGTAGCTTCTGACCCAAGCTCTACATCGACTACCTCAAGCCTCCAGTTCACTCTCTTCTCATCGATGGCTCCAGTTGGGGAGACATGATTGACCTAGCCAAGAGGTATATCTCGCCGGCAGAAATTGACTACGAGGCACTTAGCAAGCCGTCCGAGTTCAGGCGCCTCAAACGAGGGATTTTCTATCAGCCGTACCTTCCTACTCTATGGGAGGAATTTCGTGCCATGGTTGACTTCCGTGTCATGGGACTTGGATGGAAATGCTCCGAACTCGCAGGTTGCGGGTGGCTCTACATTCAGAGGCCACAATCTCAGGGGGTACATAGGCATGGCTCGAGGCACGAGAGACGCACACCCAAAACGAGAGATCAATGGTGAGATTTTAGAGGGATAAGTGAGGGCTCATGACTAGTGCTGGCCGTGTCTGTTCATCTGTACTTTCTTGAGATATTACGAGTTTTCATTCCTCCCTCATTTACCCTTGTCACTGCTCGAGTCGGTCCGTCCTGCATCTTTTACATTGTTTTGCTTGATGATCATGTTCTCTGATGATACTGTCACAGTTCTCAAAATTAGAAAATTGGCAAAACTGACGTATGCATGACATACGAGAATTTTATGATTATTATTTGCTTGATTCTCTGCTGTTCCGAATCAAAATAAAGGATTCCTAAGACCGGGGACCGGCGAAGATCGCAATTGAAGGGTCTCGCTCGAAGTCGGATGCACACAACGTGAAGGGATTTGCCTTATTTAATTTATTTATTTATTGCAATCTTTAATAAAATCCTGCGTGACAGCCTGTTGGTTTTCTGGTCGCCTGAGGTGGCCTGACTAGAAAAAGTGTGACACCGGGCCTTATATTAGAATGTGCCATGGGCAGAGTGCCTTGTCGACAGAGTATAAATGGGTTTTTTAAAGGGGGGGAAAGGGGGTACACGCAGGTTTTAAAGGGAATTGAAAGGGGTTATGACAAGTTGAGAACTTTTGACTTCCAAGGGGTATATAACCATATGTTTTGGTTTGACTTTTTGTTTTATTTTTTAATTTTCGAATTCATAAGGAATTCAACCTGCATTGCAATTCTCGACAACATATTTTTTTAATAGATTTCTTTGATTTATTTATTTATTTTATTTTATTTTTCTTCTTTTTTCTTTTTTTTTGGGCCCCACTGAGGTTGTTACAATTTGGTGAATATAACGCACAGGCGTTATAAACGAATATAACGCCTGTCGGACGCTATATTCGGCGGGCATTATATTCGTATACCCGCCTGGGTGTCATTTTTGGGTGAAGACGGTAGCTGCCAGTTGAGGTTGTGAAGGCCCTTACCGACGCACTCAGGGCAAAGGAGAGAACCAGAACACACCCAAAGGGTGCAGAAAAAAAGGGGCCAGTAGAGACTTCTGCTCCAAGCGGCATTTCAATACAAAAGTCCTTGAAGAGAACAACTATTAAGGAAGACTAGACGACATGTTGTGGCTTTGCTCAGAAAAGAGAAGACAACGAGAGGAGGAGAGGAAGGCGGTCGGTTAGGTTTGGATCACCTGTTTAATCTCGACACTGACAACATCTGTCGGCTCACATCAAATGGTTCTTTTGGCTTTCCACAGGTAGAACCACTCTTCTTTGAAGTGAGTTCCTAGGCGATTCATCGCGCAATCATTTCTCTGTAGTCTTCAAAGGGAAAACCTATGTGATGATACTGGATTCGAGTGAATAGGTGATTTCCAAGATAGCATGCATGCACTCCCTAGTGTTTGGCTTGCACAGTGGAGTTGTACTGTGGCTGATATTATACTTCCTTCCGCTATTCTCTATTGGACTTTCTTGGTTCTGCCAACAGTAATTGTAGAACGAATTAGTGCACGCGCATCCATACGAACGTTTTGTCTTATGAGGTGCGTACTCCACTGGACAGATTACCTTCCAATCTCGACACTTCTATAACATACTACATAGTCTTAGTCGCCCACTCAAACTGAGGCTTCACCACTTCTAAGTAGTTCATTCCTAAGATCATATCAAATGGTATCGCCCAATCAGACGGAGACTTCACCATTTCTTAGTTGATTCCTAGGATGATGATAAGCAGGTGCTTCACCTGCTAAACTTGTGGGCTCAGGGCAACCTTCCCATCGCGACACTTCTATAACATACTACATAGTCTTTATCGCCCACTCAAATTGAGACCTCACTACTTCTAAGTAGTTCATTCCTAGGGTCATACGAAGTACATAGTCTTCATCGCCCACTCAAATTGAGGCCACACTACTTCTAAGTAGTTCATTCCTAGGGTCATACGAAGTGGTATTGCCCACTCAGACGGAAACTTCACCACTTCAAGTACTTCATTCCTAAGATCATAAGCACGTGCTTCACCTGCTAAACTCTTGGGCCACTGTATCTTCTCTTTGTGACAACTATTCTTCCTCTTCCTCAACCTGGAGGTTCCTTCTTCATCCTTGTGCTTGGGGTGGTGGCACCGAGAAGATTCTGGGACTGAGCTGCAGCACCTAAGAGCGGGTTTTGAGCAGCACTAGCGCTTTTGGGATAGTTGAGAGGACACACTGCTGGTCTGCAAGGTAGAGAGGCTCAGCAGTATAGTTTTGGGTTGAGCGCCATAGCCAGCCAGCTAGGGGAGTTAGCGAAGGAGGAAGAAGGAAGACTCCAAGGACTTGCTGAGGCTGTGTTCTGAGTACTTCCGTGGCTGTGATTCTTGGCTTCTTTTGTGATTATGATTGAGCTGGAAAATATCATTTCAATTCTTCTTCGTCCTTGTACTTCCGCGGTGCATCCCTCTTTCCGGTGTGATGCAAATCCCTCTGCTAAATTGCGCTCCAATGAGTCACATTACAGTTCGTATCAGAGCTGCAACCAGGTACTTCTAATGAGCAAACGGTTGGCCATCTTCTTTTGAAAAGCTGCTAGAGGTGGAGCTTCATTTATGATATCTTCACGAGATGCGATCTGGAGAAGATGAGAGGAGGTATGCGACGTAAAGGAAGATCAATTAAGAGTTCGGTGCTTTAGCAAAAGTGTGCAGGCGTGAATCTTCAAGCCGCAAGAGGCTGTAGGGAAGTCGGTTAGCGTTACTAATACTAACCCACCCTTCCCTCAGCGCTAGACTAGTTTAGGGTTCCCTAACCCTAAATACCTCAACGCCAGTGCAGTTTAGGGTTTCACAGCCCTTAACTGGTCAGTCCTAGTGCCTTGAGGATTTATGAGCCCTCGAGTGGAGTAGAACTGCATCTTCACGGGTGTGTGCACCACGGGAAACAATTTTCAAGAGTTTTCAACAGGAGATTCAAGTAATCTTGAAAAGAATGAATCGCAATTTTTAATAATTAAAATTTGATTCATTCTTGTCATAAAAAATAATCCCATTCTAATCTAATAATACAATAATATAATATTATCTCTATACTACTAAAGCAAACAAAGGGCCCGACGACATGCCTGGTCGTGGGCCCAACGAAAATCGTAGGACCTGTGGCGGAATGAGGGCGAGGCCGGAACCGGGTAGTGGGACCAGTGTGGGGGCGAGGCCGAGGCGAAGGGGCGGGGGGGCGAGGCGGAGGCCCACGAAAGTCAAAGCGGCGTGGCGCGGCACGACGTATAATATTTAAATTTAACAAGTGGACCCGCCGGAGTGTGTGTGTGTGTGAGAGAGAGAGAGAGAGAGAGAGAGAGAGAGAGAGAGAGAGAGAGAGAGAGGTAAGCCTGCAACCCCGCAGCGATAGGATGTGTAAAATCGGATGAATCTTCCGCTACAACATCGAAGTATACACTCCTACAGACACGTGTGGGTGCCGCAGACACACACACACACACACACACACACACAAACACACACACAAACACACAAACACACACACACACTTGCTTTTGCGCTCCAATTGCAGCGTTTGGCAAGCTCTCTCTCTCTCTCTCTCTCTCTCTCTCTCTCTCTCTCTCTCTCTCTCTCTCTCTCTCTCTCCCCCCCCCCCCC